ATGTTTTTTTTTGGGTTGTAATAGTATATATAAATTTTGAATTGAAATAAAATTATTCGGAGTTTTGCTGGGATTGAAATACAATTATTATATTCTTTTACTCGGACTTATACGGCACAACCTACTACGCTCTTTTAAATTAAGATGTAGAACGAAAAATTTCTTTTATAGTTATAATTATAGTGTATTATAAAATTGCAATAATACCTCTCAATTAAAACGTGTTAAGAGCGCAGGCACGAATTTTCCACGGAAAGGGGGAGAGAAGGGGGTGGCAAGGTAGCGTTTATTGTTATTTAATATTATAAAATAAAACAATATCATAAACTTATAAATTTTAGATTAATTTGAAAAATATGATTTCATAGTGATTGATTATAATTTATACCTTCATATCAAAAATCTCGAAATCCTATCTCCGTGAAGTTGGGCGAACGATTGGAAGAACTAACAATAATTAATATGCCTTTTTTTTAGTGCTTCGTTAGTGTTTGTTAGTACTTCAAAGTGCAGCCTAAGTTAAGGAAAAATGTTATAAGTAAAAACAAAAAATTTGTCCAACTTCACATTTAAAAATCGATTGAAAGTGTTAACGATAAAATATATACCATTCTTTATAATTCATTAGCAGAGGTTAGTGTCAGTTTAATAGCCTCTGTTAAAATAAAAAGGTTATTAAAGAAATAAACGAAAAAATGGCTACACCAAAACAAAAATAGAAGAGACTAATATCTTATTTTTACCATTATCTATTGAATAATTAGTAAATTAAAATTCCATAATAAATTTAGTTAACCGCCTTATAAAAAAAAATTATAAGCTAAATAAACGTTTTAAGGTCAAATTTTGACCAACGAAATTATGAAAACACTAACGAGGAAACATTTATTAATCTTAGGTGCTTTAGTAGAGATTAGTCCCTTATTCAGTTTAGTAGCACCAAATAAAAATAAAAATTTATTTTTTACAAAGTTAATAAACAAAATGGCGGCCTACTAAAAAAACTATAGTAACATCCGGTTTTTGCCATTATTTACTGTTTAATTAATAAATTCAAATTCCATAATTAATTTGGTTAACCCCCAAATAAAAAATAGTTATGCGCTAAAAAAATATTTCGAGGTTGGTCAGCAAAATTATGAAAGCACTAATGATGAAACTCATATAATTCTTTAGAGCTTCGTAATTAGTTATTAGTGCTTAAATCAGTTTAGTTGCCCCAATTAGAATAAAAAAGTATTTATTAAAGAAAAAAACAAAAATAAACAACCAGTAGCACACCAAGACAAATACTATGGTAGTAATGAACACCCCGTTTGCGCCATTATTTAGTGGTTAATTAGTAATTTAAAATTTTGTAACTAATTTGGCTAACCGCTTAATAGAAAACAAGTTATGAGCTAAATATAAGCTATGACTTTACGATTTGGGCGTGAAGTTGGCTGAACGATTGGAAGCACTAAAGATAAAACTTACATCAGTCTTTAGTGCTTCAATAGTAAAAATTAGTGCTTCCATTAGTTGAGAAGCCGAATTTAAAATAAAAAGGCTATTAACAAAATAAATAAAAGATATATCAGCGACAAACATCTTATTTTCACCATTATTTAGTGCTAAATTAGTAAAATTTAGATTCCGAATTATTTTAGTTAAAACCCGTATTAAAGTTACAAATAATTAAAAAATGCATATTGTATTTTTTCATTTAGCCTATAAATTGTTTCCAAAAATTATCCACCATATTTGAGTACTATAAAATGGTTCAGAAGCTTAGATAGGTGCCAAAATACATCAGTGAATAGGTATAACATAGTCACAAAATATTATTTTCACTATTGCCTCCATTGAACCCTATTCTAATAGGTGTATTATTTTTATAATTTTTATCATTTTTTATTATTTTATTGTAACAACTTCATTTTTTCTTTAACATCTAATTCTGAAGTGTCATTAAATGATATAGTTAAAAACATTCTCTGATTTTTTATTCTGATTTAAATTGTTCCTTTTACATAGTTTAATTTTATTCGAAAAAATTATGCATATAAATATTTCCTAATAATTCCAATACAACATTGAACTTCCACAATAAATGAAATTCTTTCAAAACTCTAGCATAATATATTTTTTAATTTAATTTAAATACACTTTTAGATAGGAGTGTCGAGGACTAAATTGTAGAAGCTATGTAGCGAAATATAGAAGAATATTAATTGTCAAACTTTATTTTTAATGAAAAATTATAGCAGCACAAGTAGCTAACCCTTCAAAAATGACGGGCGAATTGACTTTTTGCCAACATTTTTTATCCTTTTTATTTATAATTTAATGCCAAAATAAATTATTATTGTTAGGTGAGGTTTTTCATACCTTATTTAATATTTACCACATTAACCACTCATATTATCTGAATACCAGAGCCCCCGCTATTCAGCATTGCTGTTTACTCCCCACCTCGTGAAGGTGGGATTTGGAAATTATGGGGAAAGATAGGAAAAAAATTGACTAAATAAGGAAGAAATTAAAAAAAGAGATAAAAATATGAAAGGGGAACTTTAAAAAATTAATAATTGTTTTTTATTTACGAATTGATGGTTATATATTTTCAAGCTACTCACATTTGTAGGCCCATTGGTAGGCATTGAGATGCCAAATCACATAGAAACGCATCAAAACAAAAGCACATTGCTGATTCACACATCAAATTTTTGTTTAAATTCAGTAATCATATCGTATCAAAAAACAGATACATTTCTGATTCAATCACCAAATTTTTAATTAAATTGAGAAATCATATCAATGTAAAAATTCCAATTCATTCATCAAATTTTTAATTAAAAAGTAATCATAGCTAATCAATATAAAAATACATTTCTGATTCACTCATCAAATATTTTAATACTTTATCGAAAATTTTTATTCTTTATATTGTATATAACAAGGCATGGCCCATATTTATAATGTGTTTGCATTTGGACCATAAGGGGTATGTTCTCAAATTATTGCATAAATGTATTATAGTATCTGGGCAATAAATAATTTTTTTCTTTTACAAACATTACATATTTAAATTTAGCTCAAATTTTCTATCCAATAATAGAGGTTAATGGTTATATTTAAATCAATTATCTCAAAATCATCGAATTCATCATAAATATCAGTTTCCATTTTCTCAAGTTCAGATATAATAATTTTTAAGTATTTTTTAGCATTCCCACAATTATCGGGACATATTTCAGTCCCGCTAGTATACATATAATTATTAAGGACTCAATTATCTTTTCTGCTTGTTGCAGGGATCCACATTTAATTACTATAGTCATTGTGAGAATATAAAACTCTCTAAACAAAGAGGATTTTTATATAAACCCTGTCATCTGCATATTAATTTAATACAGTGCAAACTCTAATAAAAATCTTGGGCATGTTTAATTTTTATCCCATTACTATATTAAATGAATATTCAATATAAGCCTTCAGATCTATAAAATTTTCTAACGATCAAGCTACCCTGCCTAGCAAAATTAAAGAAATTGATAACAACAATTTTGAGAATTCCTTTTCCACTTTGTTTCTATATATTTAACCAAGTGAAATATGATTAATATCGTGTCCCGCAGAAAGTATTTGCACCATAGGTATTTGACCACATTTAAATTTATTGTGATTACTCCCGCATATAAAAAAATATGGCCTGATTTTTTATTATATGACCTATTGATTTTTGTAACCAGGGAACCTTTAGCATCAATTTGAAGTATCTATACATCAGTATCCTGACAATATTTATTATATATACACATTTGATTTGGCAACCAATAATGCTTATAAAATTTATCAGATCCTATATTAATAATGGTTGAAACAAGTTAGGTTTATTTCAAAATTAATAGTGTATTAATACTATTATCCGTTTTCAGATCAAAAACATTGTCATTTTTAAAATTTTGCTACATTTTCTTAGAACAAAGGATAATTGGTTCTACCTTGCCAAATTCCACATGATTGGCTTTCAGTTAAAAACAGTCTTTTATGAGCTCTAATTTTTAAAAATTAAAAGATTTTAGGGGAAATGATAATTTTCAAACATCTAGGCATAAGGAAGTTTTGACTGGTGATAATTTTCTCAATAATTTGAGTCAAGACAGATCTTAGCTTTGCTAAATAATTGTTGCATGCATACATTTTATTCAATTAATTGATTATAATTACTAGTTCAAACTGTTCTTTTCCTATTTTTTCGTCTTCAAATATATCTTCCTCTTATAACAAGTAATCACTAAATTCATTTTTGGAAGCTTTGCTTTGCAAATAATATAAAATTTTTTTATTAAATATAAGTTAAGAAATTAGAATAGAATTTTGAAAATATTACTTACCGTTATCATGTTTTATTTATTTTTAGAATATTCAGCAGTAATTATTTTCTGTAGGATTTGTTTACTTAACAACTGTATTATCCCAAATATGCATATTGTTACATAGATATTATTTAATTTATTATTTCAAAGCAAATTGAATTCTATTTCAATAAGAAATTATAAAATAATATTAAAACTTGACTTTCATTGAAACTGAAGGCATGCATTATTTTTTGAAAAAAACCTATTAAATAACAATATCTAAATGAACACCTCAAAAATGTATTAATAGGATATTCTAAATGCTTAATATGGGAAATTCTAATGTATAAAATATGTGAATGTAAAATAAACGTATTTTTGCTGATCAGCCTCTTTTTTTTTCAATTTTTTTAATTATCGACCTTATAAATAGAAATTTTCTCGCGGCTTCATTAGCAGATGGCTCACTTGATATTATGTTTAGTCTGCCCCTGTGTGTGGGTATATATTTTTAAGAAAAAATAGTTTATTATTAACTAAATTACGCTTTTCCTTGTTAAATTAAATAGCATTAATTAACCTTACCCGCGGTTATTGAAAATCATATGATTAAAACGTGTGTGAGTAAATTGTGTATTTCAAACTTCTAAATCATGTGTTTTATTGGTGTTTTCAACTAAAATCGATAATTTTATACTAATAATTAATGACATTTAATCTAATTTTAAAATTTCGTAGCTCTAAATACAACATTACAAAATGCCAAGGGTTTATTCTTAATTTAAACAATGAATATTCTTATGGAATTACCACCTATGCTACAACAGCTGCTTCTAGGGTTTTAAATCTCAATGAAATAGAGGCGACCAAAACTAGCCATGAAATATCATACGAAAAATTGACCTTGGGCATTCCTAAAGAGGATATAACAATAGGGGAGAGAAGAGTTGCCATTAGTCCTACATCTGCAGCTTTGTTGTCTAAAAAAGGCTTCAATATTAATATAGAATCTGATGCTGGGATATTTTCCAAGTTTTTAAACCAGGATTATGTTAAATCTGTTGGTAATTTAAAAAACAAAATTCACATTGTTATTAGCAAAAATGACCTTTACCAAAATTCAGACATTATTCTTAAAATTAGACCTCCAAATGACAATGATGTTAAATTGATGAAACAAAACCAATATTTGATAAGTTTATTGTATCCAAATCAAAATAAAAAGCTGATTGAAAGTTTATTGCAAAAAAACATAAATTCATTTGCAATGGATTGTATACCAAGAATAACACGGGCACAAGAATTTGATGTTCTAAGTTCAATGGCAAACATTGCTGGTTATAAAGCTGTGATTGAAGCAGCTAACAATTTTGGCAGATTCTTTACAGGTTATTCTTCATATAAACATAATTATAGGGGCTCTTTAATATCAAAGTATATTTTTTTTCTTTTGGTAACAAACTAGTTAACACTTACAATTTGATTCTTCATTCTTTCAAATATTAATTTAAATACAATAGCTCATTTTAAATCACGTATTTGCCTTCATCACTTTCTTTTTCTAATTAATAAAAACAAAATTATTTCACCTAAGTCATATAAGGTTTGTTTACTAAAGTATTATAATTTTTAATGTGCTTTGCTTAGTTTATTTTGGATAGAGATTGCAAAATAGTATATTAATCATTCTTTGGGGCATGACTAAAATATGTGCCCCCAAAAACTACATGCCCCCTATCATAGAAGCTTAATTTATATTTTATTAATACAGAATCATATTTAGCTTCATAAGATGAGTTAGAAAATGTTTTTTTTTTATTTAAAAAAAATGACAACATAGTATAAAAAAATTTAATCAAAAAAGAAGAAATTAAGTGTTTTTTCAAAATCTCAATAATATATAAACTTAGTATTAACATTTTTTGATTCCTTTTAATAAGTTATATATGATTCTGTGTTCATTATATATATATTAAGCTTCTTTGATAGGGGGGCACGTAGTTTAGTCATGTAAAAAAAATAATTTTTTAAAAATTTTACTATGTTGCCATTTTTTTTATAAATAAATAAAACATTTTCTAACTAATCTTATGAAGCTAAATATGATTCTGTAATAATATAATTTAAATTAAGCTTCTTTGATAGGGGGCGCGTATTTTAGTCATGCCCATTCTTCGTGATTATTCATTGTGGTCTTAATAATCGAACCCCCTCTACCCATTGTAGCAAATACATTGGTCTAACAGCAACAAAAACTTATTCCCCCTCCTCCCACACAAATAATGACAATTTTTAACTATTACTGAATAGAAATAATATTAAACAGCTTGATTTGAGCCTATTTTTAAAAACGGCTAACTATTTTAGCCAGAAAATGAATGCCCCAGTCTCAAGATTTCGCTAATAGATGTCCAAACTTTATACTATCTATGGAAAAACTTGGCTCAAAATGAGCTGTTCAACAACATTGATAAAAATATTAGTAAAATTTACACATAATTTTACTAATATTGTGAAAAAAAATTAAATAATATTTTTTTTTGATTGCTATATGATAATTGATATTTATTCTTTTAATTTTGCCCATCCAAACATAAATATCGAGAGTACAATCTTTCCTATGAACATCAACTGTTTAGACTGGGAACTAGTGATGATCAAATCCCATCACATCTTATTTTTAAGATGAGACATGTCCCAAATGCTTACCTTGGATAGCACATCCACGTCCATCCCTGTGCCTAAATTTACCATCCCAAATTTTCTTTAAATGAAAATGAATTCACAAAATATATTTTTATTTATACGTTATTATTAATTTTAGTATGTTGTAACTTACTTTTATCATAAAATTTGAAATTTATAAAAAAATATAAATTGTAAAAAAAATTTTTTTTTGTCTTTTTCGGGATTTTTAAAACCTGTCGCGTCCCAAGAACAAACGTTAGATAAGGATGGAACGCGTTTCCAAAGACAAACGTTGGACGGGGCGCGTTAAAGACGCACTTTGAATGCTCTTAAAAAAATATATAAACATTATTTTGATTATTTATCTTCTATAGAGTATTAATGACATCGACAGATATTTTCAATGCAAAGTCTAAAAAAATAAGCGATATTTATTTATTTCTGAAAAAGGGAGCTAAAAGACTTCTATTGATGTTTAAGCTCATCTTAACCTAGAGGATTCATGTGAAACATTATATTTTATATTATAAATAGATATAAAAAGATTTTATTTTGTTTTGACCTATTTATTTTTTTTAATATTGATTCTGCAACGATAATGACAATATTGACATAATAATTCTTCCTTGTTTTCTTTTCCTTTTGTAATCATTTTTAAAAATATAATAATAGTTTCTACATTTTGTTTGTGACGTAGATATTAAATTTTTTTTGAATCACGAATCAGTGGTAAAATTTTTAGGTTCGACCCGGATTTTCAATGACCCGGACCCAATTTTCTAACATAACCAACCGGATTCTCATTTTTATACATGTCTCGACCTGATTAGTAAATTTTAAACTTTATTTGGACCGTAGTCTCAATTTTTATGCATGTCTCGACTCGGATATTAAATTTTACACGGACCGGATATAAAATTTTACACGGACCGGATATAAAATTTTACACGGACCGGATATAAAATTTCCATGTGTCCCGGAACGGATTTTAAATTCTTTTTTTTAGTTCGGCTTAGATATTTTTAAAAATGCTTTAATTTTTAAATGATTTTAGCTGTTTTTTTTTTAAAAACAAATGTTTCAAAAGAAAATTTAAAATATGAATCAAATGAATGTGTCACATGATCCTTTATTATGATTGTCTTAACGTCATCTAGATTTATTTGAAATAAAATTTGGCCCGGCCAGAGTTGTATCAATTTTTTGGGGCTCGGGTTTTATAAAATTTTTAATACCATTTTATGGCCCTTTCTGGTCCTAGCTTTTAAATGAAGGTTCCAATGCCGAATTGCTTGAGGATCACGAATGCTTGAGCCAACAAAATGATCTTCGCCTAGGAATAAAGTTTTAAAAGAAAATTAGCGAATATTATAAATATCTGTAGCACCTGAAACTATGAGAATTAATGGAGAAATTTTATGACCCGGATTAAAGGATTTTATTTCCCTGTTCCATTCTCGTATCGGCCAATTTCGGAACTTTCGGGAACTCGTTCTTAAAACATATATTTCTAATCTATTGTAGTATATTATCTTAATTTTTACTAGGTTAGTATTAATGCGCTGAGCCCTCTAGACACCCCCTAAGATGAGTAAATTATAAAATAATTCAGTTATGCATCATAACCCCCTTCCCTTCCCACACCATTCTGGCAGGCCTGTTTGACATGCCTTAAATTTACTAATTAAGTTTGTAAGGTTGCCATTTGGCAACTTTTGGAAATTGTTATAAATTTAAAAGCATTTTTTTTTTAAATATTAAATTGGTAAAATTTATAACTGTCATATTACAAATTAAATTTAAAATGGAATTAAATAGGAACTTATAAAATCGATTGAATTTAATATTTTAGTAGGTGACTAATAAAAAAAAAATTTGCATATTCAATAAAAGAAATTTAAATTTAGTAGCGTTAAGTGTAAATATTATACAATATAAAAATCAATTATACGAAAAAAATATATAAAAAATTTCTCCAGGTCAAATAACGGCCGCTGGTAAAATTCCACCAGCCAAAGTTTTGGTAGTGGGAGCGGGCGTTGCCGGACTTTCCGCCATTGGGACCGCAAAAAACATGGGGGCCATAGTACGGGCTTTCGACACCCGTCCTTCGGTAAAAGAGCAAGTCCAATCCTTGGGAGCAGAATTTCTAGAGATTCATCTCAAGGTTATTTTTTTTAAAATCTTTCATTTGCTTCCTTCCTTCCCTAATAATAATTTTTTTTAAATAATATCCTTTTAAAATAATAGGAATCGGGCGAAGGTGTAGGTGGGTACGGGAAGGAGATGTCTCCCGAATTTCTGAAGGCAGAGAAACAGTTGTTCTTTGATCAGTGTAAAGATATTGATATCTTGATCACCACGGCCCTCATATTTGGCAAGAAAGCACCAATTCTATTCACGAAGGTATATTATCAGTGTGACCCGAAATATTTCATATTAGGTTTTACGTAGTATAACTGGATTGTATAGTGATATTAAATAATTGAACATTATGTTATGAATGGATGATATTTGACAAATGGTAAAAAAACAAATCAGACTATATTAAAATTTTTGATATTTTATATACAATTTTGATATATATATATATATATTATTAACTATCATCAGTCTGATTTAAATGAAAAAAGGAAATGATAGAATGCATGAAACCGGGATCTGTGGTGGTGGATTTAGCTTCAGAAGCCGGTGGAAACGTTGAAACTATCACACCAGGTCAACTCACGACTTACAAGGATGTCACCCATATAGGCTACACGGATTTCCCTAGCCGTTTACCTACCCAGGCCTCCAACCTATTCTCGAACAATATCGCTAAATATCTACTTTCCATGAGTGAGTATAATCCAAACATAACAAAAAAGTATTACGCTTTTTTTTAAAATTAAATAACATCTATCCCATCATTTATCAGTGTCACTCAAATAAATATCATATGGGTAAATAAAATTATATTTATAATTTATGAAGTTACACGTATCCCTCACCCCCTACTTCGGTGAAAAATAAGGTAAATAAAAGGATTTACTTCAAAATCCCGAATACATTGATTGCTAAATTGACAACCTGGAAAGATTATCCAGAAAAGAAGTTTTTCTGCTAACTATCTTTAGATTTAAAACCTTATGTTATATTATTTAATCCCCCCCCCCTTCCCCATCCATCTATAACAATATCTGCTTAAATACACTGTATCTGTCTTTTGTGATTCAAATTAGACAAGTTATTAACTGTTTAAGCGCTCAGGTGATCATTGGAAGGTTAAATTAAGACACATCGTGAAAATAGATTTCGTTTTCGAATAATCCATTTATTAATGATTTTAACTAAATATACACACCCCACTTGGGGTAAATAAAATGATCTAATTTTAAAGACAAAAACGGCAAGTTTTTCGTAAATCTAGAAGACGAGGTTATAAGGGGTAGCGTGATAACTTTCCATGGGCAACTCATGTGGCCCCCACCCGTTAAGGCTCCTCAACCTTCCTCACCCCTTCCTCTGCCCGATCGATCTTCCGAGAAGCAGCCATCCACTCAACTCAAAACTTCCCAAATCTCACCCTTCAAAAAAGCGCTCAATAACATCATGCTATACACAGGAGGTAGTTTATATAATCGATGTGTAGTCTAACTCTTTTGTTAAATAACTTGTTATTTCGGCTTTTCTATTAGAAGAGACTTATAATATTTTAAAATTGATCCATTTTTAGTCACCCCTCTTAAAAGCTTAGTTTTTAATCCATTTTCGATTGGTGGATCAAATAAATCACGTGACTAAAATATAACTAATTATTAATTTTATAATTAACCAGTTACCTCTTTAAGAATGTAGCGATAACTAGTTATATTTCAAAAGTAACTTATAACAATACTTGTTTAAAAGACATCATGTTCTATCTCACAATTTTTTTACAATTAAAATTTTATTATAGGCTTGACATCGATGGTTGGATTGGGAACTTTATCCCCTGGACACGCTTTCAATTCTATGTGTACCACATTTGCCCTATCCTCAATCGTTGGTATTTTATTTTTTTTAAATCTATATTTTTCGAGGAGTATTTTTTTAACCACGTTCCATTTTTTTTCTTATTTAAATATAGATATCTTAATTAACCTTATTATGATATTCAAAAAAAAATACTAAGCGGGTGAATAAATAAGATAAAACCCTACATGAATTTATCACCCTAATATTTTATTCATTTTTAAATCAGATAGTAGCAAAAATAATTGACCAATTATATTATTTTGGGCTTGAAATGGATATTTAATTATTAAATCAATTTCGGAAAAAGGTTATCACACGGTCTGGGGTGTCAAACCTGCCCTACATTCGCCCCTCATGTCAGTCACCAACGCCATATCGGGCCTAACGGCCATAGGAGCTCTTCTCATGTTGAACACTCAAAACCTCTCAGAGATTAACTCCTCCGTCAAATTATCTAATTTGAAACTGACAGAAGTGGCTACCCAATTCGCCAACTACGAAACGTCGCAACATTTGGCCGCTCTTGGTGTGCTCCTCTCCGCGGTCAATATAGGAGGAGGATTTTTGATAACCAAACGCATGCTGGATATGTTTAAAAGACCAAGTTTGATGGATGCTCATTCATTTGGGGGGAAATGATGCCATTTTATCCTATGTCCAAAACTGATTTTATTATAAATTTCTTTCTTACATCTGTTTTTTTTAATTCGGGTTAAATAATAAGATGCCCACCTCCCATCCCACTCCCCTCCTTTCACCAAAAAAATTAATGTCTCTTTCTGAAATATTAAGAAAATATTATTAAAGTCTTAATAAATAGCAAATTTTTTTCTTTCCAAAATACAATTTACCCCCATTTATCTTGTTTAATGAATACGCTTTTTTTCTATCATCATCAAAATCTTAACTTCATTAACCTCTAGCGGAAATGCCTTATTTTTAACATGGTTAATCTTGTAAACCTCTATTCTAAATTTTATATTCCCTTCTTCAATCGCTCTTGGTATAATATTAATAGCTTTTATTATCTTATCAAAATTTTAACTTTTATCAATTAATATTGAGATAGTCATTATTTTGTCACCCCATCTTCTATAAAATTTTTAAAAAGAATATTTAGGAGGTTTGACAATTAAACCATTACTATATGTTAAAATTTATTTGCACATACAGTGAAGAAATATTAGTAACTTTTTAATAATATAAGCCATCTTTTCCAGTTTATGATTCATATTTTAATATCTCAGCTTTTTCTCATTCATTTTTAAATTCATTCTTTCTTTGTTTCTTTCTAGTTCTTTCTCTCTTGGCACAAAAAGTTTAAATTAAGCGCGATCCCTTTGGACTTTCAAAACAGATAGATTTTGTTCTATGTTTTACCCCCAAAATTGTTTTTTTTTAGATAATTGGAGAAATGCAGGTACTGAAGGCCCTCTAGCTAATCAGGTCACACGAGATTTTTTAGCGGGGAGAGATTGATTAACTTTGGTCTGAATGAGGGGAGGGGTAGGATTAATTATTTATGCGTCGAATTAAACTTTTATCTAGTTATAATTTTAGGCTTAGACTATTTCCAAACAAGACCTCTTTAGAATAAATGCACAACTTATATTCTTCCAAAATTCCGTTTATTAAGCTTTGTTTATTTTTTCTCATTTTGAAAAAAACGGCTTGTTTGGAATACGTTAATTTTCATTTTTTTTAAAAAATGAAGGATTTATTCTATCCTCTTCTTAGATTATAGATATTTCCCTGCTCCCTTAGAAACCCCGTTTTCCAGCCCAACTATGCAGCCACCCTAGCTAATGGGTGTATAATCCCCTTATCTTATACCCACTCAATTTCAGTGAAATAGACTCTGTTGGGGGGGGGGTCAACTTAGGATTGTGTATGATATCTTAATCCAAACTATGTATTTTTTTTTGAAAAAAGCCGACCCACCGGAATACAATTACCTGTACGCGCTTCCCACCGCCGCATTCTTGAGTTCATACCTCGCCGCTGCGTATTATTATAAGTATCCTCACGTTCATGAAATAGCCGAATTAGGTTTTTTTTTAAAATTATTTTTCTGTTGAAAAAAAAATAGTAAAATTGGTTACCAGTAAAATTAACTTTTTGATTTTTTTTAAATTATATATTTCGAGATTAATGGTAGAGTTGTTAAAGTGCGGGTAGATGTTTAAGGGGTGGGGGGGGGGAGGCTGATTCGATCAATCCTTTTTTGAGTTTTTTCTGACGGTTCCATTACAAATAAAATTTTTAAATTATTTTATATTTTATAACGCAATTCCATTCATCTTACCTTATTTCCTTTTGGGATTTTTGAATGTACCTGGATACTTTTAAGATATTTATAAAAAAACTCTTAATTAATATTTTATAGTAAATTGGATAAATAGGAAGGTAGAGATATTTTTTCGCGAAAATAGTCGGCCCTGATAACACAATCGTTTATTTTCGCTCACTCCCCCCCCCCCCTATACGTGATTCCTCGTTGACTAAATAAATAAGCCCTAATTAAAATACATTTTTTTATACACGTTTTTCTCTTTAACACTTCCAACACTTGGTGTAGTATAAATGATTTTGCGAGATATATATATCTCAAATGTTTTTTTGATGACAAATAAATGGATGTATTGGATGGATTTTGTCTGAAAATAATCTAATAACATCGAAATTTAAGGAAGGTTTTATAAATATGAGATTATTATATTTTGAAAAAACATAAATAAAAGCATCCGCCTTATGCTGTGTGGGCGCCTTGGCCGGTTTGGCATCTCAAAAAACTTGTCGATTGGGAAACGCTCTAGGACTCACAGGTGTGTTGGGTGGTCTAACCGTCACGCTTACTTCCTTTAACAAACCTCATCTTGCTCTTAGGTTTTCGGAATATTTGATCCCTCTTCCCCTCCCACCTCCCCTTCTACTCATGCTAAGAAAGGAAAACAGAATTTTAAAAAAGGGCAAAATTTAGTGTCGCTAAAAGGTACGATTTAGCGAAGTTTAAATTAGTATTTTAGCCATAAAAATATTACATAAGCCTAGATTTTGTTAATAAATATCCCTAAAGATCGCAAATCACGGCCCTTACCCGGCCTAGGGTTTAAAAAAATTATAATTTAGGTCAGGGCTGGGTCGGGCCTAATTTATTTTTTTTAAATTTGAACCGGGCCATGTCGGGTTTAAATTTTTAAATATGCTATTGCATTTTTTTAAATGATATATTTTAAAATTCTTGCGAGAAACAAGGTCCTAATATTTTTTCATAAAAAAATTCGTGCTGGGCAGGATGCAGATCACTAATTTAAGCCTTTCTGATATCTATGAGATCTCTAGGCTTGCATAATATTTTTTGGATATTGGATAAGCCCTTTTTTTAAAAATCTAGTCGTTTATATCAACACTAGTTTTTAGTTTAACTTACAATCTATGTTATATAATGATACCTTTATAAAAAGATATTTAAAAAAAAATAGAGTTTGATAATAAGGAGAAAACGAAGCTAATACGATGCACAATTTTTGTTTTCGCTAAAAAAAAATCAAAATGAGGAGGCGATAACATTTATGATCAAGTTTAGAAACCAGAGGGAATTGGTTATTTTGTTGCCTGAACTGGACCGAGTTAGCTAATAATATGACTATTCCATTTGGTTTCTAAACTCGACCTGAATGATGGAGATAACTACTATTATTTTGGGGAATTTTTAGAGCGGTCTGAATCAGATCCATTATTTTAAAAAAAAATTTTATTTTCCCTTCTAAATAAGTATACCGGCGGAGGATCATTCCACATCTCTCTTCCTCCAATACCTCTCCCAAAACCCTGCCACCGTCCAATCCTTATCGCTTCTCTCTATCGGCGCTCTGACCGGCACCCTTATTGCCAAGCGTATCCCCATAACAGATCTGCCCCAGCTAGTGGCCCTATTTCACAGCTTCGTAGGTATGGCGGCCGTGTTGACCTGCCTTTCCAATTTTTACCACAACGTCAACGCCAAATCGTTAGCTATCTTCGACTCCGAGCACGTTGGTCATCAAGTGGTGAGTCACGTGGCGAATCAAGTAAACTCCATGGATTCCGTGGAAAATATGGCTTTGGTAATGGGAACTTTTATTGGCGGCATAACTTGCACCGGTTCTTTGGTGGCATTCGCCAAATTGCAAGGTTTTATTTTACTTTTTTGAAATTCCGTCACTATATTTTTGCATATAGCGTAGTATTTTTAAGGTTATGATTAATATATCCGATTCCTATCAAATTATCTTACTTTTTTTACATATCTAATATTCTGAATAATAATTCCTATAAACGAATTTAACGAAAACAATTTTTTTCCTAGTTTATAGCTTTTTCTAATTGTCGATTATAAAAAAATTTTAATAAGGAATTGGAAAGCTTAAATTTTTAATTATCTAATTTTAAACAAAATTTTAAAAAAGGATTGATGAAATCGGCCCCCACTTTATTGCCCGCCCGGCACATTATCAACTCGGCCATGGCAGCAGCTAGTGTTGCCGCGGTAGTGATTTACATGAAAAACACTCAAGATTTTAACACGGGCTTGAGCTGTCTTTTAGCTACATCCGGTCTCTCATCCGCCCTTGGAGTCACCTTGACGGTCGCAATTGGAGGTTATATAATACATTTTTGCTGATTCTTAATATTTTAAAATATATTATTTTATAAGAATATTTTGAAAGATATATGATAATTTTTTAGTTTTTTGATAAAGATTTAAGCACTTTACCCCCTACCTCTCCTTTAGAGTCCTTTAGCCCCACTCCCCATGCTCAGGAGGTTGCCCCACTTCACACGAAGACTAAAATATGGGTACCGATTATGTATGCTTTATTTGACTAAGAGAGTACCCTCCCTCCCCTTAAAATTTCAATGGCGTAATTGCATCTTACCCCCATTTTAGAGGAGTCTGCTCTCACTCACCACTCCACCCTCCCCCCTCCCAGGTTATTTTAAATCGTAGCTAATAAAAATATACTGTTTTATGGAAAATGTGTAATAAATTTGACCAATATTTGTGATTTCCATCTATTATAATCTTTTATCATTATTTTTTTATTTAAAAAATTGCTACTTTTTATCATATTATGAACACAATTATTATTTATTTGTTTCATATATTTTAGGAGCCGATATGCCGGTAGTCATTACTGTTTTAAACAGTTACTCAGGTTGGGCTCTGTGCGCGGAAGGATTTATGCTTAACAATAACCTCATGACTGTGGTAGGAGCTTTGATAGGCTCCTCCGGTGCCATTCTCTCTTACATTATGTGCAAGGTAATAAATTAGAATATTATTTAATGTAGCGTCAACTAATGTTTAAAAAAAAGATACCTTAGACAATTTCCAGACAATGTTTTTTCAAGGAAATTTTTAAGATGTGTTTCCAGCTAATTTTTTTATTTATTTCTAAACAAAGAAATATATTTTTTTTGCATAATAAAATAGAAAATTTATAGTATGAAAAACAAATTAATTTAATCTACCCTGTTTGTAAGTAAATCAAAAATTAGCAATAAACGTGCCTAGAAAACCGCTTTGCAAAAACTTTCTACCTGGAAATGACCATATTTTTATTAGTTTATTCCCATTCTTTATTTCAATTAGATCTCTTAAGGGCCTAATTTCTACTAGGGTTAGTCTTGTATGATATTTTTTTGCAGTAAATAATTATATTTAATCCAATATTTAACTTAACCCTACAAAAGTAGGAAATAACAACATTTTGGAGAATATAAGGCGCTGACAAAAAAATATATCTTTTATGAGTTAAATAAATGACTAATAATTTGAATACGCCGAATACATACATTTGAAAGCTGGGCTTATCATTATTCCTAATTATAACTTTCGGGGTTATATAATCTTTTAGCGTTTTTAATTTTCTATTTTTACTTTACTTTATTATATTAATTTCATTTTTTTTTGTATTTTCCTAAGGCGATGAATCGTTCATTACCCAACGTTATATTGGGTGGATTTGGCGAAACGGGTTCTTCTAACCTCGCCTTAGACGCCTCCAAATCTGGTCTTAAGCACACGGAGGCCAGCGTTGATAGCGTGGTAGATATGATTCAGTCCGCTCAAAATATTGTTATAACCCCCGGTTATGGCATGTGTGTTGCCAAAGCCCAATACCCCATAGCTGATATGGTCAAAATTCTGACAGAGAAGGGCAAAAACGTTCGATTCGCTATACACCCCGTCGCTGGTATATATATTTTATCCTTTTTGTTTTGTAAAAAAAGAAATTTTGAATTAATTTCTAAAGCTATGCTTATCCACAAATTTCAAAACCCATCCGATGACATCGGCACATAATGTTGGACAAAATAAAATTATTCAAGGATTTATCAGATAATAACGGAATGCTAAATTTAATTTTCTTAATTTTTATTAATGATTTTGAAGAAATTTAGTAAACAATTATTTTTTTTAAATAAAAATATTTATTTATCAAAAAGTAAATTTCGGTATTTTTTTTTCTCCCCCCAAAAGGTAGGATGCCTGGTCAGTTGAATGTGCTTCTGGCCGAAGCGGGCGTTCCTTATGATAAGGTATTGGAAATGGAAGAAATCAATGATGATTTCACGAAAACTGATTTGGTATTGGTCATAGGTTAGTTAGCCTAATTCTAAATATTTATATAACTTTCTTTTTCTCAACATCCTCTTAATCTTTACTTTTTTTAAAAAACAAGGTAGTAGTACACCCATGTCCCTTTTTTTAATATTTACCCGTGCTGTGAATATTACTTTTAAATTAAACACGTTACCGTTACTTAAATTTATTACCGTTACATTTTTAACTATCTTTCGTATTCAATCTATGTTTATTTATTTTAAACCATCCTCACAAAAAATTAATTTTTCGTTAAATTTTCAAAATCTTATTTTTGACGCTTATAACTTAATAATAAAAAAATTGAATTATCTTACTCATTTAATTCCTAAAAAAATATCTTTCGTAAAAATTTAATAAAAACAAAATTATGACTTAATTTAATCAAGGGGTAAAACATGGATTTTTTTGTTCAAAAATTGGTAACCTTAATTATTATTATTTTTAAAAAAAATAAAGGTGCCAATGACACGGTTAATATAGGGGCAGAGACAGATCCAAATTCTCCTATAGCCGGAATGCCCGTTCTTAAAGTCTGGAAGGCTAATCAAGTAAATTTTAAATATAAATAAATAAAATAATACCCAACCTGCCCTACCCCTTCAATGTATTGGGAAACTAAAATTTATTAGAGAAGATCCGCACTCCTGTCTTTTGTCATAAATATTTTTTTCATTCTTCTATTAATTTTTTTTAAAGGTGATAGTTATGAAGAGAAGCTTAGGTGTGGGCTATGCGGCCGTGGAAAATCCACTCTTTTACATTCCGAATACTAGCATGCTATTAGGGGACGCCAAGAAAACTTGCGATTCTCTGCTTCAAGGCATTAAGAGCAATCAAGATTAAAGAAAATCATAAAACTTTCTTGAATAAATTGCAGTTATTTGTAAAATATAACGAAATTTATTCGGTTCTTAAGTCACTTTTATACTATGCAGCAATCGAATAATTGCGAATATTTTTTTTGAAAAGAAATTCTCACGTTTTTAAAAATGCCGTTTATATCTTAGAAAAATATTTTAAATCAGATTTTTAGGACAATTTGTAATATGCTCAAGACATTATTATATTTATTTATAAAAAAACACTTATTTATGTTACTTTAGTTAATTTTTTGTTTAAACAATATAATCCGTCCCCCTTCAATTAATAAGTAGCATTTCATTTATCATTTTTATTATTCTTAATTACATTATACATTGCATTAGTTAAAAGGTTTTAAAAACAAAGATCAAACATTTAATAACATAAAAATCTTAATAAAATATCTTGGCCAGCTATTTTTTAGTTGGGTTCCCAAAAATGAGACATAGTTATATTGATGATGCTAATCCCATTCTTACTTCTTGGACATAAACAAATCCATTCTCTCTTCCATTTTTTTACTTTCAAAAAGAACAACTGTGATTAATATAAATTTCCCCCCAAAAATACGCGGGATAATCGATTGTTTTATTCTAAAAAATATATATTACAAATAATAATGGATAAATTACCAAAATAAATAATATAAAATCCAAATTATAGCACGCATCACGATATAATCAAAAAATTACAAAAAAAAACGATAATATATATAACATGATTGAAAAAATTAAATAGGTGGACACAGAATATAATAATAATAATATAAATTATATTAATTCTTTATAAAAAAAAAAATTTGAATAATATTATTGCATTCTTTTTAAAAAAAATTAAATTTGAATAATATAAAATACGAATGATAATTTAAAGTTTGTTCCTTGTTAGTTATATTGATTCAAAAAATTAATAGTTATAATATGTCATAGAACAAGAGTAATTAAGTGCTATCAATTACTTCTTTAACAAGAATATTAAATGATATTTATCAAAATTATACCAAGATTTATTTTTAGACTTATTTGCTTAAATTTCCATAAGTCCCGTTCCCGTGACATATTACAGTTAAATTCCAATGAGTTTTATAAAAATCTTTATATGATTTATAAAACAAAATTATAAGAACTCTGCTGCTAATAATAATTGAGTTTACTTTAATTTTTTTTGCAAGAATTATTTTATATTTTTAAAAAAATATATATATTTCGATTGTTTAATTATATCATTTTAAAAAAAATGATTTTTAATTGATAAATATAATTTTTTAAATAAAACATTTAAAATTTTTGTATTTTTTTTTGAAATTTTTTCTCGCTTCTTTCAAATTTATAAAACTAAGATTTATTTAAAAATAATTCAGTAAAGTATTATCTCTATAAATTCGTGAGGATAAATACGTATTGAAGGGTGAGGTTTGGTTTCATCTGGATCATGATCGCAGGGGTGGCCTAAGCCTTTCCAGTATATGCATTTGCAACCGAGGCAGAAATGGAGCATGTTGGCATATATTTCCTTGACCCCGTAATACCTTCGTTTAAAAAAATATATTTGACAAGTTGTGAATAGCAAAGGTTTACTATTTAAAATGACTTTTAATCAAATTTGGACTCGCTAAAATATGGACGTCTGCCTTTAAAAATGAGAGACTATATATTTCGACATATATTTTTTTTTAAATTAAAATATTGTCATTTCAAAAAATAGATTTAGCAGAAATGGCTAATTAAGGAATAGAGGATTTTTTTAACAACACTAAGTTGTAAATTTTTTTAACAGAAGGAATAAAAAGATATGTTAATATTAGACCTATAGGCCGTGATATAAATGGTATCGGTGGGTGTCGGCACTCTGAATTAGCTGCCCCCTAAACCATTTTAAGTTTTAATAAATGGAAATTAATTTATAATCTAATGTATATTTTTATATAATTTATTTAAGCATTCTTATATTTTCGTCATTGTTATTAGAGTTCTTAAATCTTTGATGTGTCCAACCCTAGTATTTTCTTCTCATTCTGCAAAAATAGATTTCTGATAAATTTAAAAAAATTCATTTTTACTCAGTCACATAATATTTTACCGGCTCATTAGTATAATATTAAAACAAATAATATTAGGATAATCGAATGCAAACAAAATAAGGTAATAAACATAAATAAATTAAAGATCAAATTTAGTTCGATAATTGTCTTGAATATGATTTTATCAAGATTGGTAAAGATATTCTTTTTAAGTATTAATCAAGCGATTGAAAAAATTATTTTCCAGTTTCGAAAATTCATTTTTTTTACCTCTCAAAAGGTAATGCGTTTTGTTCTGGTAGAATATGTTGACCAAGTAAAATATAAAAATTCCTGCTCCAAATTGTTAGAGCTATTCAAATCTTTACTCAGGATGGAATACTTTGAAGCTATTTTTGCAATAAATGAGCTTGATATTTGAGCCTTTTTAGGTTTGCTTTTCTGCATTTTGATCAGTCAATAATTTCAGATGTTTAGTTAAAAATTAAGTTTAAAATTTTCTTATCAAAACATTTGGGAAATAATTTTATTATAATTTTGGATAAAGGTTTAACTTGTGAAAAAATTATTATCAGATTCCTCCCAATTTTATAAAAGGTTCACAAAAAAAATGTAATCAGTGATTTTCTTACCTCTTTTTAAAAAAAACTTATTTTACCGAAGTGCAAGACTGGTTATATTATTATTAGAGAGCATTGTTATTTGGTAGTTATAAACAGGGCCCTTTAATTAAAAAATTTATTATGTCACGTGGCCACCATTTTAAAAATCTGTCAGAGCCCGTTAGCATGGCTCGGCATTTTGTATCCCTATATGGAAGAAGAAGAAAACAAGACACACTAACCTTTTAAGCTTGAAGTACATCATTTGCCAATCAACCTGGATGTCATCGTGCTTATCCAATTTATCGTCAGATGTCGTGGAGGCGGTAGTAGCATCCTTGTAAGTCATGGCGATCCTTTTGGTTATTTGCTGTTCGGTGAAATGGAAAGCGCAGAGTTTTTTCCAAATATAAGCCTCCTGGGAACATTCAGAAAAATAGGCTAAAACAGACCCATCTGGGTGACTGTTGAAATAGTCGTGATTAATGTTGTCAACGGCAGGCTGTATTGCACTATTGTAGACTATCTTCAGAATGTTTATAGAGTCGTTTTTCACCTGCTTTTTATTTTTGTGAATAGGGGGGAAAACAAGTTTTAAAGTCTAGTACTGTATATAAATCATAAAATGTTTCTCTATTGGGAGGGGGGGGGCGCATGGGCAAAACTCTTTAAAGGTCGGTTCGAGCTAAGGTAAACAATTCGATTTTTAATATTAACTTTATTATGTTTTTGTTGTGGAATAGTGATAGCTGTTCCTTAGCATATCCAAAAAAATGATAAAACCAAGCACCTGTAAACATATACCTCCTCCCCAAAAATCTAAACATATTAAAAAATTGCAAAAACTTTGGTAAGCCTTTTCATTTTTTCGTCTAGCTCTATATCACAACATTTGGACAAGTTGATTAGGTCTTGGTGATCCGAGAGGCAGGACACGATTTTAAAGACGCATTCCTTGGGCAATTCTTTCAGAACCTTGTTGCTGTTACCACTCAATTTGATCGGCTTATTCCTTTTTAGGCTCCCTACTTTATGGTTATTCGCAATATCGATAACGACAGCGCCTTTCCCTCCATTGTCGTATATAGTTGTGGTAGTGTTGGTTGTTGTCTCCTTCGGGGGAGAGTTGCGGGTGGCTAAATCGTACATTTTATCACAATTTTGATCTAGAAGTTTATCGTTTTTATTATCACCATATAAGGAAGGCTTGTGAGAATCATCGTCTGGAGCGAGATGGTTGAAATTTTCTCCTATGATTCGACGAATGCGTTCGGACATTCTGAATTTAGGCTTTAGGCCATGTTCAGGTTTCCCGAGGTTACTCTTCGTAATAGTGATTGTCGAGGGAATGTTCTCGAAAGTTAAATCCTATTATTTGAATAATTTAAGAATGGTATTTGAGGAAAATAAGGATTCCTTTCATTCCTATCCATCTTCATTTTTCTTTCTTCCCTATCTATCTATCTATCCATCTTTCTTTCTTTCTTATGAGCTTGTTAGTAGTTATCCCTTTTTTCCCTCCTTTTCGTTATATATAATACTTATATAGAATCTCACTTTATTGGCAACGATCCCATATTTCTCCCAGTCCTTTGCTTCGCTCTCATTCATTCTCTCAATAACATTATCATCTCCAAGGATAATGGCGCCCTCAAGTTCACGTTTCCACCGCTGGATATCCCTGGCATGCCCATTCCACAACGACTCGCAGCCGACGCGAAGCCCAAAAGATGGTGGCCCTATTGTCAATGCCTTGCTCAATTCACGCACGAGAGTTCGCAGAAGACTGAAATTTCGACATTCTGCTACGCCGCGCTCGATGACCCTTCCAGCTAAGGCAAAAATGCATTTTTGGGCGCTGCCACTCAGTTCGTGGAGTCTTTCGCGTATCAGCAAGCTAAGAACCTTTCGACAAATATAGGTATATTAAAACAAAGATTATATATAAATAGTGGGAAAAAAAAATCCATAATTAACTTGCCAATATTACCATAAAATAGCTTGTTATAATAATAAATAATATTAATATGTAATAATATATTTATTCATAACATCTATAAATCGCCGATTGAGAATTAGATTTTTCCATATTCACTTTTTGTCAAAAATGACTTATTTTTTTAAAAAAAACAATTCTTTATAATTATATAATTCTATTTAAATAAAATAATCCAAAATATTTATAAAATAAGTTAAATTATAGCCAATATAAGGTTAATTAACTACACTTAATTTTTAAAATTACAAAAAGTGGAGATAGAATAATCAAATTCTCGGGGGACGAAATATGTTATAGAAAAGTATTTTATATTTTATAGAGCTTCTTAGTAAGACCTCATTCATAGTAATCGCGAAATACCGTAATGTAGTTCAAGATAAGAAGTAATCTATAAATTACATAATGGTAACTTATGCAGCTATGCTATCGTTTAGCAATGAATGACGTGTCTTTTGAGCGATATCGCAGAATTTCGCGATTATTATAAACAAAGCCTAACTCTGATGAATTAGCCCGATAACCCCTCATTCACAATTAACGCGAATCCGCGGCGAAGATTAACAAAAATACAACATTCCGCGAATGTGCGATAACAGCGATTGAGGGGTTACGCTATGTACTAATAGTTTCTATGTTCCCATAAAAATTTTGGGATATGTTAATTCTTAGTTTTAAAAAAAAATCTCCCTCAAATTTAGTTTATTTATCATGAATTTTACTTTGGAAATGTAATTAAACCGCTTGATATCATCTATACCATCCAAAAAGTCCAGCTTCCTAAACGCCTCCTTTAGACTAGTGAATCCACGAGGGGACGAATAACGCTTGTTTCCGTTGAATAGGCAGGGTTTGAAAATAATAGGGATAGGATCTAAATGATTATTTTTTTTGAAGAGGTCGGTAAGCCTTATTATTGAAAAAGTTATTTATATTTTTGAAATAAAAGGTTTTAACGTTTGGGCCAAGGCTTGGCGTGGGCTAGTTTGGAGCATATATATATTAAATGTGAGCGAATTCCTGATGATGTTAGGTAGGATTTTTATTAAAAATGTATGATTTAAATTGCAAAATATTGTTTTTTAAAAATGGATTTAATTATCTCCTCTGCTTAATTTCACCAAAAAAAACACATATGGGTTAGAACTAGGGTTATGTTTTTTTAAAAAGGAGTGCAAATAATGTGACCTAGAGGGTTGTTAAAATATCTAGATATAAAAATGTCGTATCTCCATCAATTTGAATTGTATATGCACTCTGCATTTCCTTCAAATAATTATAATAATAATCTATCATAAGAAAATTGTAACACTGTCTAGATAAATCTGTATCCAGATACATGTGAAAAATATCTTCTAAAAACTCTGGTGGCCTAAAATAATTTTTTCGACATCGGTTGCATGCACTATGAGTCTAATTATATAGGGTCTATAAAGAAATCGTATTTTTAGATGGAAGTGGTCGTGTAAATTATATTGATGAATGGTCAATTAACAACGAATTAGAATTCGAGGTTAAACTTACGGTGGCTAATCATATCATTCACTAAAAAAATTAATTAATCTACCAATTTTTAATCAATCTATATCAAGTTTCTGAACCAGATAAAATTTCCGCCGAATTCGGTTCGAGCCCAGGTCCGCCACGTTTTTTTTTAAAAAAAAAGAGGTTCTGCCGAAACGCGTTCATAAAAAGCGAATTTAGAGACTCTAAAATTAAACCGAATCGGTGCTTATAATGGATTAGGGTTGTTTTGTTAATTTTTATTTTGATTGGAAACAAAATAATTTTTTTAAAAACAATGACACACCCTTTCCGCCTCTTCCCATTCCTCCCCCTCCCTTTTCTTCTCTTTTCACTTCCCCTCGAGATAACAAATTTCATACAAAAAATGTTTGGGGCAGTGTTGCTTAAAAGGCTCGGTTTTTTTATTGCCAAAAAAAAATATCATGCAAGCCTCGAGGATGTCGACAATACAAGTCCAAACACTTTGTGCCATCATATGAGCAAAATCTTAAAGTTTCCGTAAAAAAAATAAATACCCAACCTGTCAAAATCAAATTCATAAAAATACAAAACAAACCAAAAGAATAGAAAAGAATAGTAGGACAAAGAGTAAATATAAATTAATAATACAACCAAAAATATTTTTTTTCCTCTTTATTGATTTTAAACCATCTTCTCAAGGTTACTACTCGCTAATTATGGAGAAAAAAAAAATGTTTAATGTTTCGTTTTTTTTTAAATCGCGAAATTTAAAGAAAAACAACTTAAGTATCTTCCTTTTTTTCTTTACTTAATCGAGCGAGCGAGCGAGTTGATAAGCCGATTTAAAACATTTACTTCTTTTTAAAAAAAATTAAATATTGCAATAAAATATTCCTAAAATCCCTTTATTTTCCTTGACAAAAATTGCATCCGTCCCCTTCATTTCTCCCTTTCCGGTTTTTATACGTTTTTTTTTTAAAATAAATAAATAAATATGGGTTTACGCACGAGAGTTGTATTGGTTGGCAAGGCCAACGGAATCGTAATTTATCGGAATGAGTGTTTCTTGGTTAATACAATTTTCTTCGGCGGAATCGAGCTGGGAGCCATCTTTAGTTTGTTTTCTATTTTATAATTATTTTTATAAAATACGGATACCAAATAATGGTTGTCTTAGGGGAAGGGCGGGCGGAGGGAATGCGGGCATTCTATTTATCGGCGCGTTTTATTAATTCCTATGGATTTGGGATTGTGTTAAGTCTCATTTATCGATAACGATTGAGTTTTAATTATATTTATGTTTTCAACTCTTTTTAATATCACCACTAGATAAATTTTAAATGAATAATAAAATTATCTTAAATACACTAAGGAGCAATAAAATGTAAGGGATAAGGGATGGGAAAAAAAGAATTAGAATGTTGTTGAACCTCCTCACTTTGGTCATTCAAGAATAAGGCTTAGTGAAGCTTTTAGTTGAGCATAGGGTCGAAGATTGAGGCGCATTTCAAGTAGGGTTCAGAAATTTAAAAATTGTTTGGTTGGCATTAGACCGATGTGTGGACAATCCATCAGGACCGGGGTAATATGGATCAGAGTCAGGTTCTGACCCTTCTCAGGAAATTGGTTCCGATTGTTTCTGTTAACAAAATTTCCTGTATCCCTTCATTAGGTTCACACTCTATTTTTTATGATAAAAAAAACTTGGCCAAGCAGTTATGGGGGTTAGCCAAGATTAGGAGATTTAACATGTGTGATTGTTTAGATTTAGGGTCAATTAGAATCTATCTATCTCTTATTTATAAAAAAGGAAAAGGGGCATGGCAGGGGAGGGAAACTGTTTTGTAATTTCGCAAACAGGCAACAAAAAAAGGGGGGGGGGCGTTTATCTCTAAAAAGTAAGATACAATTCGTGTGCCAGGTTGTGATAAAAAAAGCAACCATAGTTATCACCTAGAACATGCTTATTAACACGCTGGAATTTGTTTTATCGATTTACATTCAATGTCGCAAGTGACAATTTTTAATCAAATTTACGAAATAGGGTAGGGGGTAAAAATCAGCACGATTAGGCGGCCCGAGACCGGTTGAGATCCATCGATCAACCACAAATAAATTTTCTGTAAAAAAATGATAGGCTAAAAAAAGAGTTTTTAATGATGATTTGTTATACCATTTAAAAATTTATACTACTAAATATGATATGGCCGCTAATTATATAAAATACAGTCCCACTCTTTTTGAATATCAGATACATAAAACACAACAAATTTAAGAAAAGGGGGGGATCAAAATAGAAAGAGGTTATAAATTGAAAATTTTTTATTTAAAAATTTCTTTTTTTTTGAGTGTGTAAAAGATTTTGTGGTATATTTTCAAATTTTTTTTTTAATTTATTAGTAGTTGAGTGTGGTGGATTTTGAATTTTTAAAAAAAAAATTGTGGTAGTCTACTAGTCAATGTGGTAGACCTGGCTCCTGATTAGACATGACATTATGGTATAATTCAAGGAAATTGCCGTTACAACGCCTGATTTATTTAAATTTGTCTATTTATAATCACATGACAGATCAGAGACAGTTTTAAAAATGATTAACTTTTTATTAAAATCTCATTTGAACAAAACTATTAAAAATCCTTTAAAGAAATGATATACACAAATGACGCATATCCCCCCCCCCTCCAATACCCTATAACATCGAATTGCGAAAAATGACTAAATATCTAATAACTGTTTTTTTTTTAAAAAACAAGAACGTAGAGGAGCGAAGATACGAATTAGGTTATACAAATTTTGTTTTATTATAATGTTGTATTGTGGTAACATGTTTAAAAAATTAAAATTAAATCAACATGTGCACAAAATGTAAATTTTAATCCTTCGAAAATGATTTTAATATAATTCTCACTCACGTGATAACATTATAAATATCATTTTTATACATTAATTAAATTAGCATCACCAACCATGATCATCCGATATCATGTGGAAAAAGAAGGTGAATCACGAACTTGTCATATTTTTTAAACAAAATTTATACTTGAGTTGAGAAGACATAGATATCGATTTTTAATTCTCTTTTTTTTAAAAAAAATAGACGACTTACATTTACATATGAGTATCACCACCGCATTTAATTTATGATAGAAGTAAGAAAGAAAGAAAGGAAGAAAGAAAGAAAGAAAGAAAGAAAGAAAGAAAGAAAGAAAGAAAGAAAGAAAGAAAGAAAGAAAGAAAGAAAGAAAGAAAGAAAGAAAGAAAGAAAGAAAGAAAGAAAGAAAGAAAGAAAGAAAGAAAGAAAGAAAGAAGGAAGGAAAGAAAGAAGGAAGGAAGGAAAGAAAGAAGGAAGGAAGATTAATGCAAGAACAAATTTGCTAAAGACCAAATTTTTATCAAACCATTTTTTTTTAAAAAAAATCCTATATCTATCTAATCTTTTACCCTTATCCTAAACCTCGTCCAAAAAGGTTGGGGAAAAAAATAAACTTAGCCCGTCGTGAGTCTAGCCAGCGCGCTGTTAGGGCCACAGCCTAGGTATATACCTATAAAGCTATCGCTGACATAATATTTTTTTCACGGATGAGTTTCTGTTTTCGTAAAAATATAATTTAAAAAAACGCGCGCCTGACGCGCATTATATTGACATTTAACGAGAGTTAATAATCAAAAAAAAAACTCGGCCTTCGGATGTATGGGGGGGGGGGATTTCTTTATAAGTTACCATAAGGATATTATCCTAGTGAAGGCATAATTTATAGAAGTAAATTGCTTATTTTATTCTAACCCGGGAAGAAATATAATTTAATTTTGTAAATTCCTTTTTTATTTCATTTCATTTCTTCCCTATCCCCTCCCCAGTTCAATTTATTAAAATTATGAGTCAATATAATATATTTTTTTTAAAAAAATTAACGAATCCCCCTAAAAATCAATGACATATAATAATACCTACACTGACGATGCATTCATTAAAAGTGTATATCAATGAAAACAGGTGGGGACGCCATTTTGGTTATCCATATCAAGTGTTTTTAAACGGCTCGATTCGAGCCGATTTTTAAAAATGGCTAACTCAATATTTTATCCAATGAAATACTTCGCAAGCTTGAAGATTTTGTTTATGGATGGCACAAAGGTTTGAACATTTAATAGCAAAATCTCAAGGTTTAAGCAATATTATACTAGCTAAAATATTGAGTTAGCCCTTTTTAAAAATCTTCTCAAATCGAGCCTTTTAACAACATTACCCAAATTTATTCCTATGTCTGATGCAAACTTTATTAAAGAATGGCCTGATCATCGAGATAACAAGGAAGCAAGTTATAAATTTAATAGTAGTTTTTTAACATGAGAATAATTACTATATGGATTACCGAAATGGAGTGTCCAGCTGATTTGCATTCAACGAAGCTTTCAAATGCGTTATTATGAATGCATCTTCAGTCTAAGTATTATTATATGTCATAGCTAAAAATACAATAAAAATATTTTTTTCTATACAATAGAACAGGTTTGACAAATGTCACGATTTAGCCATGATTCTCACGATTTCATATCAATTTTTTTACACAATCATTGAGCAAATTAAAATTACTCATACTTTTTTTCACAAAAGTTTTAATTCAAATATTTTTAAAAAATATTGTAGTATTTGTTAATAGTTCAACCAACCAATCATATTCATTGGACAATATTTAAGAGGCATATTTAGGTATGTCCTTAACGTTAGCAATTTATTAAATAACATAAATTTACATCTAAAATCTGAATAAGGGCTCTTATCAAAAACATTTTACAACGTAATAATGATGAAGAAAAGGCTTTGAATTTAAAATGAGTCAAAGATTTTTGTAAAAAATATTATAGAATATTTAGAAATACGCTTATGATATTCTAGATATTTGATGAATTTCAAAAAAAATTAGTACTAATTATAAATTCCAAATATAGATTCAGATATTCTCTTTGAGAAATATTTACATTTTTATTCATATTACAAAGACAAATTATCCAAAAACAATCATGTGAATGCGAAAGAAAAATGGATAGATATCCTTTTAAATGATAACTCTCGCTCTCCTTTAATAGAGAAAATGCGCAATTTTATATTTTCAATCTAACATTCAAATGCATCATCAGAGAGAATATTCAGCTTATTGACTACTGCTTGGCGAAAAGAAGGTGACAGATTACGTTTATCCCCATTGGAAGGGTGATTAAGTAAAATTATAATTATTCATGCAAAGAGTTTTCGGCCTATCTCCATAGCGCAGATGCATTATTGCTTCTTTTAAAATCATCCATAAAATATAATAATTAATATTATACTATATATGTAAAAAGCCGGCGAATATAAAATATACCAATAATTGTTAATTTTAAATCAATTAAAAAAATATTTGGTTGAATTAAATATATCATATTAAGTATGACGAGTATGCTATATAGATAAACCCGGCCGAAGGCCTGAAAATTGAGGGGCTATAAATTTTAAAAAAAAACTCACATTTTGAAGTAAAAAATATCTGGCAACCCTGCAATAGATAGAGGGGTAATTAAATTAATATGAATGATTTAATTAACTTTTACCATCTCATCTCTTACCTTGAACGATTATTCACCGCTATTATCAAAGTCATAAAATTATATGAATTTACGATAATTAAAATTTATTTTATTTCTCTCCTTATTTCTTTCTTTTTCTTTCGTTCTTTCTTTCATTCCATTCCTTACTTAACGATTAAAACATTAAAACAATGGTACAATAGGTGCGCAAGTCATAAATAAGTATAAAGAGGGTAATCAAATTTAATTTTGTCGCGAAAAATCAATTTATTTTCAAAAAAAAATTGTTTCCTCGTAAAAATTAGGTAACGCGAAAACGAGGCGGTTAATTCATAAAATTGTAATTTTTTGAAATACTCGTTTAAATATAAAATATCATGTTACATAGTTCTTTATTTAATAAGATGGATTAAAAGGTATTTATTTTTTATAACTTCAAAAAAAACATTCAAAACTAAGTTTAACGCTTTTAAGAAAGAAAGAAAGAAAGAAAGAAAGAAAGAAAGAAAGAAAAGAAAGAAAGAAAGAAAGAAAGAAAGAAAGAAAGAAAGAAAGAAAGAAAGAAAGAAAGAAAAGTTTCAAAACTTCAGCAAATTTATAAAATTTTAATGAAATTCGTATGTTAAATTTTTTTAAATTTATAAAAAAAATTCCTAGAATTATGTTTTGAACATATTTTTATATTTATATTTAAAATAGCTTATTCATTTTTATTTTCATTAAAGGTTTGAAAGTTTGCGAATTTAATTTTTCGATGTTTTCAAATAGAGCCAAAAGTATAATTACGAAAAATGATGAAAATAAGAAATATGCCGGGTTTTTTTATTAGGGTGCTTACAAAACCTTCCCAAAAGATTTTAAGCTTGAAAATGTCATAAATATGTTTGGTCATTTTTATTATTTTTCTACTAAAAAGGCTTAATTCATGTTTTTCGATAAAGTTTTGAAAATGTTCGAATTAAATTTTTTGATGTTTTTGGAAAGTTTTATACAAATAAATTTAGAGGAAATTTGGATAAAAAAAAATATGTAATCCTCAAATTACCCAATTATGATAATTTATTTAAATGCGCTTGAAAATGTCATTGAATAAAATTCAGCTGGTGACATGCCACTTTGGTTTGCACTTGATGCAAGTCAACGCAGCCAGGCTCGTAAAAATGTTATCGGGAGTTTTCTGCCTCTCGCCTAATTATCTGTGTAAAAACAATTTCAAAACTCGGCCCAGATCGGCCCCATAAAAATATTTGAAGCAATTTGTCTGGCCCTGCCCGAAAATCTTTTCACCGACCTTTAATCGGTGCATCCTCCTGGAATAAAAAAAAAAATTTATATTATGATCATTCAGAAATCTTATTAAAAAATTTGAAATATTTAGTTTTTACCAGAGACCTGCAGGCCCGAGAACCCGGCAGTATTTTAATTTTTTAAATGTACCCGGACCGGGCCTGACCTAAAATTGTTTTTTAACAAATACCCTGGGCGGGCCTGTCCGTATATTCTAATACATCATTATTAACTACATATATTAAAAATAAATAAATTATATTTTAAAAAAATCCGGTTCGGCCAAAGCAAATGGTATCTCTGCAGGTCTCTGGGTTTTCCTTTTCCCCTATTGTTTTTTTTTTAATTTTATCTAAAAATTTGTACTCCACTAAAAAAAAAATATTTTTTATACCCTACTTACATTTTGTGCTTGTTCTTTGTTATATTATTTTTTTTTTGAAAAATAAAGAGAGGGATAATTTATAAATTATTTATAACATAAATATACTATAAAATTCAGTAAAATAAAATTTATTTATTTATGCTCTTTCCTTTTATTCTCTCATTTTTGTACTTATTTTATTTTTTTTTAAAAATAGGTAATTTAGATATATTTTTTTTTATTGGCTTGTTTTCAAAAAAAAGAGACAATCTTGACAATGAAATTGAACATATATGCCAAATGAATAATACACCAATGTCGTACACAAATACATTAATTTGTAAATAAGGGAAGATTAGACGAATCATGATTCGTTGTATACATTTAGGTTGGTATAAAAGCCCGATTCGGGTCGATTTTTAAAAAACTAACCACGATTAAGATTTTTAGCCTTAAATAATATCATGCAAGCACCTCGAGATTTGGCAAATATGATGTCCAAACCATACTGCCATCTATAAACAAAATCTCCTGGCTTATATATTATCCTGGCTAAAATTTAATCCAGCCGTTTAACAAAGTCAGTCATCAAAATAATGAATGTAGTAAAAATATATTTATCAGAGGCCTGTAGGCTCGACCCTAATCCCGGTGCGGGTACAGAGGCCGAATTTAATTATTTTAAATATAACCGGGCCGGGGCTAAAAAAATTTCTTAAAAATTAACGGGGCTGGGTTGAATATTTTAAATCGCCCTTATCTATAAAATAAATAAAACATATTCAGTATTTTTTTTAAAAAAAACCTGGCAGTGCCATGCAAATGGTACCTCTGCAGGTCTCTAATATTTATTGTAGGAAAAAAACAGATATAATTCTTCAATATTACCAATTTTATTTATCATTCAGAATTAATTTATGAAATTTATATATGTAAATAAAAAGTAAAAATTAAAAAGATATAGGGGAAAAAAATTATATTGCTTCTTCTTTCTTATCAGTTTAGAAATTTGTATATGATTTTTTTAATATATATTTTATAAATTCATAGCTTAATGTAGAGGCTTAAAATTTTTTTGAATTTATGCAAGTAAATTATTATTTATAATATCAGCTATTTATATTCAGTAAAATTAGTGAATCATGATTATCTATGTATCCCAGGTTAATTAAAATTTGCTTACATGGTTCAGTTTATAAAGGTTTTATGGGTAAAACAAAAAATAAGTAATTAAATTATATAATTATGTATTAAGGTTAAATAAAGTCAAGGTTTCAATCAGAAAGTTTTGGAGAATTCAGAAAGGGGATTAGATTTGGGAAAAGTTATTAATGAAAAATATATAATTATACAAGATCTTTAGTAAACATATTTTCGATAAATCATGTTAAAATAACAAATATCTTTGATTTAGAATCAGTAGTATATATTTGTTTGCATTCATTAGCATCAATGTGTTTTCCCAAACAATGTGTGATTTTTTTAATTTCAAATCATTCTTTATGAGTTTGTTTATTTAAATTCCAGTATGTTTAGAATACATACCCTGGGAAAATGCATAATTACAAGATCTTTGATAAACCTATTTTAGAATAACAAATATCTTTGATTTAGAAACAGTAGTGTATATGTTTTTGTGTATGTTAGCATCATTGTGTTTTTCCCAAATAAAGTGTTATTTTAATTTCATATCAATCATTTAGAGTGTATTTTTTTAAATTCTAAAAAATTTGATTTTACTGGTAATTTATTCCAACATGTTTAGAATACATATCCTGGGAATTTCAGACAATCTTATTAAATCTTGAGTCATTTATAATTTACATTTTAAAAAAATCTATTAATTAATATATATATATATATATACTATGTTAAAAGTTCTTGGCATAATTATCTAAAAATCACAGAGTAGGTTTCCTACAGATGTTGTATTAAATTTCTAGTAAAATCAAATTTTTTAAAATTTAAACAGACTAATTTATCCTTGAAAAGCAACATATTGACTAAAAAAACATATTGCCATTAACATATTCATGTCATATTAAATTAGAAACTGATAACTATAATTGTGTATATTATCTGTTGATAATTTATTTGCATAATAGGGTTTTTAAGGCTGCATACAATATAAGGATTTCAGAATTGTAAAATTTTATATTAATAATTTAGATTACAAACTATATTATTATACCAGATATGTTTATCATTTTAAAGGCTCAAAATTCTAATCAAAATAATTAGAAGAATAACAGAGTAATATTAAACTACAATTCTAGTAATAATATGATTATTTACAAAAAAATAAAGAATATTTAGATTAAAAGATTTTATAAAAGTTTTTACACACGTTAGGTATTTTCATCACTTATTCTTAGAGTTAATAAAAATAGTACTTTAAATAAATTAAAATTATGTGTAGAAATATATTTATCTAAAGATTTTTAAAATAATAAAAAAAGTAAAAATTACTTTATGCGACCAGAACTATCGAGCAATTTAATCTCTTCCCAACCATCTTCTAATCTAATCCATTTATGACCAGGAGATCTCCAATCTTTCCCAATAAAAGGCATTATTTATCAAATTTTCCAAAAAAACATATGTTCTAAATATTAAATGAAATTTGCAAAAAGATTATTTTGAAATTTAAAATTTTTATAGATCGAATTAAACAATTAATATTAATATATCATAATATTGAATCAGACATTCATATAAAATTTATTTTAGAACTAATAATTATATTTAATAACATATTGAAAGTTGAAGCATATTAGAACTATTAGCCCATCCATAGATGCTGATAGGGGGGAGCTAAGGGTAGGGCTTCCAATTTTATTAAGAGTTAGGAAGTAGGCATTTGTGGAGGTAGACATAAAATATTATTGGAGGGTTATTTATTATATTTTTATATAAAATATTTCAAATTTTATAGCTATAAAAAATTATTTAATACTTTTATTATTGACCATTATAATAAAACAATATTGATAAACATAGGCCAAATTAATATATTGCATATAAATGTAATCATTATTTTTCAAATAAATGGCATTCTGAATGATTTTCTGGTATCCTTTAAAATTTAATTAAAAGAATAGCGTAGGCATGGTGGGGGGATTATAAAAATGAACCAAAGTTGTAGAACATGAATAAAATTATTGTTTCTCTTGAAAATTCTTTTTTTATAAAAACAACTATTTTTATGTTCTTATTTTATTATAAATAATAATTGATCTACAGTATTTGATTATTTTTATATTTTTTTAAAATAAATTATATAATGTTGTATTTGCAGAACTGAATTTTATCTCAAGCATGGAAAAAGATCTAGCAGATGCTGAGAATCTTTTGCAAGCTATTATTTACTCACAATTTTTAATATCAATTCAATGTGTTTATTTTTTATATTAGCCCTATCAAATATTTATAAGGAGATTATTCGAGATAAAAATTTGATTCTAGATGAATTAGAGAGAAATGTAGAGACATCTCTTTATAAATTCAAATAAAAAAATTGCAATATGATTATATTCGTTTTAACATATAATATTTATAATCAAATTCTTTCGTAAAATGAATTCTTAGTTATGCATTTATATAATTTTTGTATTAACTCTTAAAATTTATGCAAATAATACTATTTTTAATCAAAGGACTGTCTATTATTTATATTTTGATTCATAATATTTTATTAAATGGCATGAATTACTTATATATTATATAATTGTTAAATTAAATTTTTTTTAAAATGGAGTTTTTAAACAATAAAATTTTTAATATTATAATCTGTATAAAATATCTATATTTTAAAAATTATTCTAAATAATTGTTGAATATGTTGATCGATGTTATTTTATTATTTATTTTGGCAATTGATTTATTTTTTTATATATCAATTTGTATTTAAATTTAATCGGTGAAAATTTTATATTAACATTTTTTTATATCATTTTAACGTTACATTTTTTTTAATATCAATTTGTATTAGTTATTTTTATTGTTTAAAAAAAGATATATAAAGAGAAATTGTTTTTGTTTGAAAAATAAAATGTAAATTATTATAAGAAAATAAAATAAAATTATAACCAATATAAAATGTAATATAATTATCTAACTATAATAAAACGTGGATCTAATTCAATTCCAACAATAATAAAAATAAATACATGATAAAATAATGGAATGTTATTTATGCTAAAGTATTTTTATATAATAAATAAAATCTTTAAAGAAATACTCTTAAAAATTTTGTTTAATGCAAATATTTAAAATAAATTTAACATAGCCTAATATATAAGCAATTGAAATTGAGTGTTTATAAAAAATGGAAGGTTCCAACCCCCCCCCCCCCCCCTTCCCCATGATAAAATCCTGCTTACACTACTGGCTTAGACATTCTATCAGTAAACGCATATTCACGCCAAACAATATACTATAATAATGCATCGCATTTATTGTAAATGAGGTAAGTTTTAATTATTTTAGTTCCAAAATATAATTCTTTTTCATTCACTTTTTTTAATAGTTTATAATTAAATATGGATAATTTTAAAATATTTGAAGGTAATACCAATATCATTAAAAACGTGTAATTCATAATGTTCCTAGGGTCTAGGTATCTGTTTTTGAGGGAGGTTTGAATCCAGTGAATTCATTTTTGACCCTGGGTAAGGGAAGGAGTACTAACCGAACCAAGAGTAAAATTTTCAAACCGAACCGAAACCCTTTTTTAAAAATTTCTAAAAACCCGAACTGAATATGGGAAATTTTTTAAACTCGAATTCAATCCTATTCAGTGAATTTTATATTTAAAATCATATATTAAGATATTTGTAAATTATTTTAAATACAAATACTAATTATTTGAATGAGATTTTTTTAAAATATTTTAAATTTATTTAAATAATACTATATATATTTTTATTAAATGATTTTAATTATTAGTTTAGATTAACACATATAAATTATATTTTCACTATGTCAGTTTGCGATCAAATTCTATGTTAAAAATATATCAATATCACTCACTAAATATTAATTTAGCATTAACAGTTGAATCTTAATTGACTTTTATTATTTAAATTATTATATAACCCTATTTAAATTAATATAATCATTTGTTAATTGAAAATTAACAAATTTAATTGTATTTAGCCGAGTTTAACATCACTAATCAACTATAATATTGATTTTTAGATTTAATTATCATGTCTCTTTCTAAAATTATTTTCATTTTAAAACTTTACTAATCAATGCTTTTGATAATAAATATAAGTAACAATTTGCTTTCCTATTTAACGCCATCTATTTATTTTAAAAATTATTATATTTAAACATTTTATTATTCATCCCACAATGGATGTAAATTAAATATCTTTTCTTCTCTTTACCTATTTAGGATAGCGATTTTTCTCTTCTTTGAAAAACAGTTTTGAGTTAAATTTTTAATACGAATATATTTTCGATATTATTACAAACTACCATTATTTTAAGATATAATATACCAACTAGAGATGGTGCCACAATAATATATAATTTTAATTGCTTTCAAGATATATTATTTGTGTGGCTATGTAATTTAAGATTATTACCACAGCTGCTGAGAGCATATGATTGCATATTTTAGATATGCAATAATGGGCAACTGTGTAGTCGTTTATATATCATTAAAAATGGAAGAAAATCTTTTAGAAATTTAATATCTCACCATAATTTTCTCGATTACTTATCTAGCTTCCATCATGTCATCTAAGAGGAAGCTCTAATTACCATATAGTTTTATTATTAGGATTGGTCGTTTATATTCTCTTCAAGAATTGTTAATTTGGTAAGGCCTAGGAATTTTTTTTTATTAGTCCATTCTATAAAACATTGTCTAAAATGGTAACAGTGAGGAGAGTTATAATAGTTTCATGACCTTTTGTCAATGTAAGTTGCTAAAAATTATATAGCCTTACGTGGTTTTAAAACCATTATCAAATGAGGCATATGTATGAATTAATTAATCTTTTTTATCATTTGTAATTCTTTAGACGCAAATTTTTTTTATATCAACCATCGAAAATATTTTGTAAGGTAATAAATAGATTTTGTATTAAAAAATATTATTTTTAGATATGTCTTGATTGTTTTAATTATTTAGGTTAGTTTATTTTGTATGCAAAATATAATAAATGACAAAATATGAAATTCAGAATAATTGTTTAGATAGCAAATTTTGAAAAAGTTTAATATATTTATATAAAACCCGGTCGAAGCCCCGCAAATTGAGGGTATGGGAGGGGCGCGTTAGTTGAGCCCCCAGATATTGTATAGGCTAAGACGCCCCTGGTATAAATTCTTAAATATTATAGATGTTATTTAGTGAGATTTGCGCAAAAAGACATCTTGTTAATTTATAGGATCGGATTATAACCCTATCCACGCCCATTTTATCTGATGATAATAAATTAAGTGAAGTTATTGTTCGAGATGATTTATGGATAAAACTAAAAAAAGGCATGAGAAATTGTAAATTACTTAAATAAGGTCCAACAATCAATAGCGTCACTAGGAGGCGCAGGGGTACTAGCCCTCTAAAAAATATGAAGAACCCTATCAAAATTGAATTTTAAATTAATAGTAATTTTGATAATCTTAAGCTAGAAAAAAAGAAAAGTAATTTTAAAAATAATCTTATTTTTGAGCCCCGAGATTGTAAAGGTCATTGATACCCTGCCAGCGATTGCAGAGAAAAGTATTAAACGATAATTACTGAATTTGACAATTTTTAAAGATTGTATATGAAAGAAAATATTTTGAATTTTTGGCTTTTAAGCTGCAGACCCTAGTTTATATATTTCATCCAAAATCCTATTTGCTGTTATTGCCCAAGTTAATTTATCATATTTATATATATATATTTATTATAGGTTAACGTTGAAAGATCTTTTTCACATTTGAAATACATACTTGAGCAAAAAGATTGAGAATGAGCGAACTACTTTTGAATGATGCTAATACGTCTAAAAAATTTTTTTTTTTAATTTATACATGATTAAGCTTTGCATTTTTAAATATATTTTTCTTTAAATAATATAAAATTTTTGTATAGTTTTTTAATTATAGTTTGAATATATAAAAATTATTGTTTACCTAATATGCTCATACTGAACCAAACCCGAACCGAACCCACATAAATTTTTCTTTACTTTGAATCTAAATTTAAAAGTTGCCCGTGCATATACTAGTTTTCTTGCTCTGTATGGATGCTATGGCAGACTTTATCTTGTCTGGATGAGCTGGACAACTGTCTCCGCTACCTGCTAAATTTTTCAATTGGCAGAGACGATTTAATAGTATTTTGTTCTTGTTTTTTATGGCTCATATAAACATAATAATAATTTGACCTGAATGTAAGGCAGTAAAATAGGTCTCCTTTGTCAAATTAATGGAAAAAAAGTTTCATTTTTTCTTTCAGCTAACAAATGTTATGATTTTAAATGGTTTAACATTTCAATAACTGTAAAATTTTCAACTAATTTTATTTTTTTTATCAAACACACATACATCAAGGAATGGGCAAACACAAATATGCTTCTTAATGCTTCATACATTTCAAGAAATAGGAAACAATGAAAT